ATGATGAAAGAATTGTCGTTACACAAGCAGACAAAGGTGGGGGAATAATTATCATGGATGCCAAAAAGTACGATGACAAAATGAAAGAAATGCTGAAAAAGAAATCATGACGAAAACATTTACAAGACGATGAAGCCGGGTCATGGAAAAACCGAAGGTGAAAGTTTCAACAAAAATGTCAGAAAAATTCTTAAAAGGTCAGAACAAGGAAAGAAGCTATACCATTTGATGGAAGAAGCACCGACTCTCCCCAAGATGAAAGGCCTGCCAAAAGTTCACAAAGAAGGAATGCCTATGCGACCTATCACATCAGGAATCGGAAGTGCGCCTCACAAGCTGGCCAAAGTACTAGCCAAACCTCTTTCAAACTCTCTTGGATCCATCAGCGACACTCATATTAACCCGCGCCCTGGTGGGGTCTGTTTATAACGCGACCTGGTGGGGGGGGGGGCTATTTTTTGCCCCCCCCCTCGTATCTCCGAAACTACTGGACGGATCCGAAAAATTCAAACGGCGTTCGAAAGGCCTGTCAAATTTGTGGAGGGAAACCAAATTTTATTGATCTCGGGGTCACCGATGACGTCACAGGTCAGGTCAAAGATGAAATGTTTCACCGTTCACGGGTCTTCTAGGGAATGCGCTATAACACCGAGGAAAACGCATTTTGTCGGGAATCAGCGATAGGGCGTCAGTTGCCTAGTAGATATGTTGCTGTTAGAGGTCACTGGTCATACCAGGTCAGGTCACAGGTCAGGTCACCAAAGGTCACCAAGGGTCACCACATGAACCCAACTTTACTAAGGTTATGCGATGCATGTTTTATGGCCAGTTTTTCATTTCCAACTCAATGGTGTTGGTTATAAGACCATCAGGTACGGTTTAGGTCACTTTCTGGTGGAGGTCAGGTCAAGGCCAGGTCAAAAAAGGTCAAATTTCAAAGTTGATATTTTTGCATAAAATGGGTATTGATTCGATGCAGCTCGTCACGGGGAGTCTAATGGTGGTCTTTGTTTTGCGCTACGAGTTCTAGAATTGCTGAAAATTGAGTTTGAAAATTTGACGTCATCAATTTTAAACAGTTTTTTCGCTATAACTTGGCCAAAAAAAGAGGTATCGATCTCAAATTTGGTATGTAGATAGAAGGCGGTAAGGACTATCACATATATTCCGGTTTTTTCGAAATTCAAAAAACTTTTTGGATTTTTTGGCTATTATATTCAAAAAATCTATTTTTTGATTTTTGGGGGTCAAAATCCAAAAATTTCAAAAATCCAAGATAGCAGTTTTGTAGCCCTGTCCATTCTACAGCTCTTATGTCTGTATCATTTTTCTGTATTTGCAAAGCTATAGGCCTGACAGCTCTTCCCGCGAAACCCTTTTTTGGGTCGAAAACGGCAGAACATGACGTCACTCTGACGTCATTTCCGGCCAACCTATCATAGCCTTTGGAAAAAATTTTTGGTCACAATGTGTAAAATTGATGTCCGAGAGGGTACTGAAAGTTTGGTGACGATCGGCGCAGTGGTTCTTGAGATATATCGAAAAGTCTGGAGGGGGGGGGGGCAAAAAATAGCCCCCCCCACCAGGTCGCGGGTTAAGAACTCATCGGAGATGATGGACAAAATCAAAGTAAAGAACGTGTGTGACAAAAAGGTAGCTAGTTTTGATGTCAAGTCTCTATTTACAAACGTTCCGGTCGATGATGCCTTGAACGCCATACAAAAAGTGATTGAACCGATGAACGATAATGAACTACCTCTTCCGAAGAACGATTACTTAGAACTCATCGAATTATGCATGAAATTCAACTGTTTCTCATACAAAGGATGTGAATACGTTCAGCACAGCGGACTTGCAATGGGGTCACCATTAAGCCCTGTAGCTGCATGCCTTTTTATGGAAAATCTTGAAGAAGAGCATTTTCTTAGAATCATTGGTGACGACTCAATTTGGCTCAGATATGTAGACGACGTACTGGTTATCGTTCCGAAAGAAAAAGATTTGGCTGAAACCCTGAACAAACTGAATGATGTTCATCCAAATATACAATTCACACTGGAAGAAGAGAAAGAAGAAAAGATAGCGTTTTTAGACACATGCATCATAAAGTCGACGACAGGTTTCAAATTCAAAGTCTACAGGAAACCGACGAACAAAGAGGATTATGTACATTTTTACTCAGCACACAGCCAACGAACAAAAAGTGGAATCGTGATTGGGTTCTTTTTAAGAGCTTTAAGAATCTGTAGCAAAGAATTTGTTCAGTGGTTCTTGAGATATATCGAAAAGTCTGGAGGGGGGGCAAAAAATAGCGCGTTAAGAAGCTGCATTACAGACGATATTTCCGATATTTCTCACGGAAATATCGTCGTGAGATTCTAGCTTATTGAATCTAGGTACTCGTGTATTTATTACGCGTCACGTCATCCACGGAACAAAACAATTATCTGTAACAATTATCTCTCACGGAACATATTTTCCAAATTCAAGAAAATTGAGAATATGCCCACTTTTCTCATTCTGACATTGACTAGTCGTGGTGTCTGCCTGTCCCGGTCCTCTATAGTCGCGGTGTCTGAGCCTGTCTTCAGGTGTGTCCCACCTCGGCAGTAAGAGGACCCCGGGTCCCTCCAACCTCCATTACGTGGGGTGAACTCGTCGGATAACGCGGCTCGCTAATCCGCCCACTAAGCCCAGGTGGGGAGTTTTTCAATAACGGGCCAACTTATCGGATATACGGCGGTCGGTAGTTGGCAGCGCGGACGGCCCGCCGAAGACGCGGACAAGGCTCCCTTGGTAGCTTGGTTCTTTAGTATCATTCTGCCTATTGAAAAGTTCCAGGAAAATTATCTGCCGTTAGGAAAGTGTTACGTGTGATTACTTGCTATATTTTATTTCCCAAATACACTTCGCATGCGAAGTCTTTATGTCCTATAGGACATAAAGACTGAATAACTTCGTCAGAAATTGGGTAGATTATTTTCCCCTTCCTGCACTGAATCATGGTTCACCGGGTCCACATTGGTGCTCCGACGTGCTCCCCAGGCCGGCCGGTCGGCGCCGGCGGCTATGACCGGTGCCCGAGTTTACTGCCGGCGGCTCTGGCGCGCGCCCCTGCAGAGGTGGTCGCAGTAATCCGTGCCGCCGCCGCCGTCTGAGTAATCGCCCTCGCCGCGCCGCCGCCGACGTCCCCGGCACACGCCAATATCGCCGGGCATTTTTCATCATTTCGCGGCAACCATTCTGTGCATACGGGCCGTGAATGAGCCCAATAAAGCCTGGTTAGCGGCGCCGCCGGTAATGGGGCCGTGGCGGCGACAGTGTCGAGAGCGGCGCGCCGCAGGTTACTGCGAGAGCTGCCCCCGGAGCTGCCGGGCATTGCCGCACGTAGCGTAGGGTATCGGGGGAACTTTCAATCCAAAGGTGCCCGTAGAAAACATAGTATAGGTAAGCTACGTGTAACGCAGATGCGCCACATTTTTTTTTCTTCTTCAATTTGAACAAGTCAGCCGTGCCACAAGCAAAAGTGCAATCATTGACCAGATCGCAGGACGGCCGACCGCGCGCCGGGCGCCGGGCGCCGGCGCACTCAGGCCGGCCCAAAAACAGCAGCTGCACCCGACTCGGACGAAAATAGGCAGAGGCTGGGACCGGGAACGCGGATGCCGATCAGCCATGTCGTCCGATGAATGGAGAGCCGGGCTGTGCACGCAAACAAAGTCATTTGACCCCCTGACCGTCGGCCTCAAAACCATCTGGCGCACCGCACAGACACGGTCAGTCGGCTCAATCGGCGGCGATACCTATTTGCGTCGCAGACCGGCGTACACAAGGGGTGCAGCCGGCTTTGACAACAAAGCTCCGCTGTGGAATACCACCCCCAATTCGTGAGAACCAGGATCTGAAGTCGACAAATAGCATGCCGGAGCACACCACCTGCCAGTGGCGAGTCATTTATCAGTTGACCCTTTGGAAAACAGGACTTGGTCCCACGCTCGGCACCCCGATGGGGACATTTATCAAGCGGACCATTACTGACAGAAGCCAAACAAGAGAAAGGGCGCAGCTGTCGACCTGGACTTCAGCGGGGCACCAAACAAGGGGAGCGGAGAAACGACCCACATTTCCGATACAATTAACCAGGAATCTGGGAAAAGAGAGTGGCTCGCCCCAGGGCTGCTGAGAGGACCGTCAATACTACACCCTGAGGGGATGCACAGCCACCGCCATCAAATCACGAGGAACTGGGGCGGTGCTTCAAGCCGAAGAAGACATCGCATTGGTTCGAGGGCGGTACCTATGTCCCTTCACCAAATTTACTCCGCCCACCAAACTGGACCGCTGAAATGACGTCACCAGGAGTATTTAAACTAGAGCAAGAAAGAAAAAGGGTCACTCTCGGTGACGATCTACCTGGGCGGCGGGAGTGCCACTAGTAGCAGCCGACGACGCAGCAGCAGCCTACTCTCTTCAAGGAGGTCAGTCATTCTCGGAGCACAGACGGCCATTCCCAGTCCACCCGCTATAATGCCCGCCCCCTTTCATTCTCCCGTAATGACCTACCCTCCCTCCCTCTTGTAAGCTGACCCATGCCTCCCGACGGGCGTCTCTGGGACGGGGGGTAGATACGTGGGGAGGGGAGGCGAGGGAACGCGTGCCAGACGGCGGGCCGGCCGACCCAAGTGAAAGGGAAAGTGTTTGTGTGTAGGGTCAGTAGTGAATCCCTGACCGCTCCGCGGATACGTCCCCGGGCCGATTCAAGGTGTAGGTTCGCGGGCTCCGAGCGGTTCGATCGTGTGGGGGTTTAGACGAGCTGAACCCCCCGACGTTGAGTATCCAATGTCTGCCGTGAATGAGTTATCAGTGCCGACTGATTTAATTGGGTTCGAATGTGGGAGCTTGTAAATAAATCGCAGAAATAGCACAACCTATTTAATACTGGAGACTCCGCGACTAAATGGGATGGCATAGCGCAACTCACTCACGCTCGTCACTGAACACAAGGAATCGTCTAGAGTGATAATTTATTCAACAATTTCCGCGCAGTGCGACGCACGTCGTGGTTTACTGAGCGCACGCCGGCCGCCACCTCCAGACACCGGCGGAGTAGTAGCGGCTGGGGTGTCGGACGCGCCGCCACCTCGGCCGTCAACCGGGCGATCTGGGCCTCGAAGCCCAGAATCTGGGCCCGAGCTTCCTCGGCCTGGGTCTCGGCCGAACTAATAGCAGCCTCCGCACTCGTGATCTGGCGACATAGCGCCGCTTCTTGGCTATCGACTCGGGCCTCTAGTGAGGCGATGCGCTCCAGGAGCCGCTCGGTCTCGGCCCGAGCCCGGGACTCCTGGGCACACCGGGCCGCCTCCGCGTCGGCAGCGGCACGGCGAGCCGCTGCAGCCTGCTCCTCGGCCCTCTTCGCCCGTCGCCGCTCCTCCGAGGCGGTTGCCTCAGAGGACCGGAGTTGGGCCCCCAGGTGCTCGACCAATCCGGCCAGCCGCGCTCGGTCCTCGCTGGGGAGGTCTTGGAAGGGCGGCGGCAGCAATAATGCTGCCCGCACCACTTCCATTGCGGTCCGCCCATTCTGCCTCGTAACCCAGCGGACGTACTCCGGGCCGTGGTCCCGGAGTACCGTAGCGCAGATGTTCACCACCCTGTAAGCGGACAGGCCGGGGTACGGGAGGGATTAGAATAGAACACTTTAATTGAATCGAATGTGGGGTCAGAATTATGGCGCTAAATTAAAAGGGGTGCGTTGATTGAGATAAGCATTAAATTAGATAAATTACCAAGTGACTCGAACACAACAAGTACGCAAGTGAAGTGAGATAATAGGAAGGAGTAAAGAAAAAAAAAACAAGCAGTGATTATCATGACTCACCTCGATAGAGTACCGTCGCCGGAGTGTCGGTCGGGGTGCACCTGGATCTGAAGGCGCCGAACCCGTCTTGCTAAGATGGCCCGGAATTCTGGGTCCTCCAGGGACCTCAGGTCGACCCCTAGGACGAGCTCCGGTACCCATCGCAGCCGGCCCCGCTCGTCACAAAGGACGGCGATATCCAGCACGGGCGGGGTGGCCGGAGCTTCACCAGTAGGTACTGAATATGCCATCACGAGACGAAATGGCACGACCCGACTCGCGAGGACCATATAATACGTCCGCCCACGTAAATAATTCTCAGACGGACGAAATTATTGGCGGACGTAACCCGGCGGGCCCGCTATTGGTCCCGAGAAGGCGCCGCGGCCGGCCCCCCCCCCCCCTCAGGGGTACCGACCAATGGACAGCGGACGGGGTCGGACGCCGCCCCAGGCGTCCCTCTGGGTAGCCATCTCAGGCCAGATGAGGGGGCCAATGTGGCGATCACGGCGGGTAAGGTAGGAGGGCTAGCTCTGAGGCGACACACATGATATATTCAACACACACAGGACCTCCCTAGCCTAACCGATACTGGAGCTTCTCCGGTTGACTCCTAAGCGCCCTTGCCAGTGGATTTCCTGGCACTCCATCCTCCCCAAATTATCCCACGGTCCAACAATAGCGATTACACACAACACACACAGGACCTCCCCAGCCTAACCGATACTGGAGCTTCTCCGGTTGACTCCTAAGTGCCCTTGCCAGTGGATTTCCTGGCACTCCATCCTCCCCAAATTATCCCACGGTCCAAACAATAGCGATTACACACAACACACACAGGACCTCCCTAGCCTAACCGATACTGGAGCTTCTCCGGTTGACTCCTAAGTGCCCTTGCCAGTGGATTTCCTGGCACTCCATCCTCCCCAATTATCCCACGGTCCAAACAATAGCGATTACACACAACACACACAGGACCTCCCTAGCCTAACCGATACTGGAGCTTCTCCGGTTGACTCCTAAGTGCCCTTGCCAGTGGATTTCCTGGCACTCCATCCTCCCCAAATTATCCCACGGTCCAAACAATAGCGATTACACACAACACACACAGGACCTCCCTAGCCTAACCGATACTGGAGCTTCTCCGGTTGACTCCTAAGTGCCCTTGCCAGTGGATTTCCTGGCACTCCATCCTCCCCAAATTATCCCACGGTCCAAACAATAGCGATTACACACAACACACACAGGACCTCCCTAGCCTAACCGATACTGGAGCTTCTCCGGTTGACTCCTAAGTGCCCTTGCCAGTGGATTTCCTGGCACTCCATCCTCCCCAAATTATCCCACGGTCCAACCATAGCGATTATACACAACACACACCGGACCACCCTAGCCTAGCCGATACTGGAGCTCCTCCGGTTGACTCCTAAGTGCCCTTGCCAGCGGATTTCCTGGCACTCCATCCTCCCCAAATTATCCCACGGTCCAAACAATAGCGATTACACACAATACACACAGGACCTCCCTGACCTAACCGATACTGGAGCTTCTCCGGTTGACTCCTAAGTGCCCTTGCCAGCGGATTTCCTGGCACTCCACTAATCAATTTACCAACGGTCCGCACACAAGCAACACACTAGACCTTGTTGCACACGAAATATATGTAATTTTATTCTACATGGACACTGCAAGGGATGGAACCGGGGAGATAGATGATGCACGTCACGCCCCTGTGCGTGGAGAATCCACCGACGCGGCTACGGGTTAGGAGGGAGATGAGACGCGAGTGAAAGGGCAAAAGACTGTACACGCAGATGGGTCGGATTTACTGAATGAAGTTCAGCTCGGATAGACCCCACTTAATAGTAGGCCTCGCTTGGGTAAGCCCTGGACACGTGCAATAAGTCGCGAAGTGAAGAGAAAGGACGAGAACGAGTTGAGGATCGATTATTGAGGATGAGTGCATAGCCGACGAAGGCTAATCCGTTCGGTTGCCGGCGCGGGCCCCATAAAGCCGTGGCTATACGGAGACGATGCAGGCAGCCCGGAGGGACCTAGCGACCCCGCCCGGTTTTAAAAGATAGGTTAGGTCCGCTATCGGTCCATTGAGTGATCAGCGCAGGATGACATTCGATAAGTGACGTAGGTAGTTTCGGAGATGGTTAGGACCCCAGGCGTCCCAGCGAGGAGACGTATGCCGCCGGTTAAGTAATGTCCCGCGAAGAAACGTGTGATGCTGCAGGACGGGGGTAAACATTAAATACCAAAGCATGCGAGTCGGGTGATCGCGGTAAGTCGGTACTGGCCACCCCGCTGTCAGTCGATTAACTCCGGCCGTGCAGCGGTCATTTCGGATAGGTCTGTGACGACAGCTTAACTACCAGCAACGGATAGATAGGGCTTCGGGCACCTATAACGCTGGTAGTCGTGGATTGTGTGAAGCCAACGGAGGCTAACCCGTTCGGTCGCCGGTGCTGTTTCAAAAGCCGTGGCTATACGGAGACGATGCAGGCAGCCCGGACGGACCTAGTTACCCAGCCCGGTTTCAAAGTTTAGATAAGCCCACCGCGGGCCGTGGTACGCTTAGTTTTCGTTTTCTTATAGGCAATTTGGCACAACTGGTAGTCATGGATTCGTGTAAAGCCGACGAACGACTAATCCCTTTCGGTCGCCGGGGGCTGGCCCGAAAACCGCGGCTATACGGAGACGATGCAGGCAGCCCGGACGGACCTTAGTTACCCAGCCCCGGTCTCAAATTTCAAATAAGTCCCCCGCGGAAACCGGACTACACAGTGTCCTGCGAGCCGTAGTCTCGGAACCGCTGGCCGAAGGACATTTATGTTTTTTTGTGTAGATAGTTCGACATGGTGATAGGATGGACCGCAATAAGTCACGTAACGCGAGGGTCGAGTGCCGAAATCTGTGGTGGGTCGTATCTCTAATTGTGTAGCGTGAGCATTATGAAGCGTTCGTTTGATGTACGGAGCATTGTGGTTATGAAGGGATAACGGTTAATAAAATCTAAGGTCGACGACTTAATTGCGACTTGCGCACGCCTTAGCACCACCGGGGGAAGTTAGGCAAAGGGGGAGGGATCAGAGATGGTTAACTCTGATAATTTATAAGGTATGGCTGGGCGTATGACAGAAATGAGAGGGGACGGGCAAATGAACGTATGATTGGCATGTATATCCGGTGGGAGATAACCCTCAGCTAGGACGGGTGCTATTGTTTGAGAGTGGGACCTTTGTTTAGTAGAGTTGGGTTCGTATTTCAGTGTGATCAAGGTAATAGGTTATTATTATCCCTCCTCCCATTCCTTAACCCTGGCCTATGTGTTTCCGATGATTGATCGCCCCGGAAAGCTAGAGTCAGAGTCGGAACGGGTTCGCGAGGGGCTGGACACAGAGGAGGGCTTCTAGGAGCGCGCCGACGGAGCTCTCAATAACGAAAGACACTGTCCGGTTAGCTTGCTCTCCATCACTATCGAAAGACACTGCCCGGTTAGCCCCGCAACGCCGCGAAACCCCGCTACAGATTGGCGCCCAACGTGGGGCAGGATCAATCAAAGGAAACATGAAGTCGGTGGAGGAACGTGCATTGCCGAACCCATAGAAGCAGAGTAACGACAGAAGAAATATGAAAGTGAAGTGAAAGGTTGTAACTCGGACATCTTTTTTCCAGGAAATGGAGCGCTACCGAGTAATCGGATCAGTGGACAATTTTGACGGACAACAAGACTTGAGCGAATGGATCCAAATGATTGAAAGAGCAGCGGAATTCGCCGGTTGGAACCAGGAGCAAACCTTTAAAGCGGCACTGTTCAGGCTAAGGGGAGAAGCTGGTGAATTTGCAGAACAATTAAGAGACGAAGGTAAAATATCAAACTGGGAAGAACTGAAAAGAACACTCAAAGAACGATATGACACCGCGGGGAAAGAACAATGGCATCAGTACCTACTAAACACGGCAACGCAAGGAGGAAAAACTGTACAGGAGTGGGCCCAAACCGTAAGGAAACTATCAATTCTCGCCGTAGGCTCAGAAGGACTCGCATTGAAAACAGAAAAGGAAGAAGCTGATTCGGCTGACGGAGGGAACGGCGAGGAAAAAACGAGTGAAGCGAGGAAAAAGCTCCTCGACTTTATGCGTAAATCAAACTTTATCCGAGGGCTGCGAAGCAGCCTGCGTCAAATGGTCTGGCGGAAAAAGTGCAGCACTTTCGACGATGCGGTAAAAGCTGCCGCCGAAGAAGAGGCGGTAGAGAACAGCCACCGAGAGGAAGCCGTGCTTAGCTGCTTTAAGCAGGATATCCCGGGTCCGACCGCAGCAACTAACCCTGGACTAGTAGAACAGATCGTGGCCGCTTTAGAGATTAGGGAGGAAGCAAAAAAGAAGAAAGCCAAAGAGGACAAATCAACCAAGAGAGCCGACAACTCCATCAATTCAACCCAACGGAAATCAAACGACGAGCGTTCATCGGAATCCGAGGATGAATACGATGGCCCAGGCGACCAACATCACCACCATCAACGGACATCAGACCAGGCATACAGAAATAACAACTCACGAAGAGGCGGTGGGCAGCGACGCGGCGACCACCATTTCGACAGACAGCTCCCCCTACCACGAGGTGCCCAGCCGAACCGACGACCAGGAAGAACGCAAGAGTGGACCCGCCAGGAATTCAGACAGGGTCCAGGACCCGCCTGGAGGAATTTTGACGGCGGTAGGGGAAACGAACCCTTTATATGCTACGGGTGCGGTCAAAGGGGACATATCCGCAGGCACTGCCCGCACGCCACGTACCCACAGTCGGGAAACGGGTATCGCCGACTGTAAGAGGGGGGCAGTCGGCAATGAGGCAAGGTGAAGTCCCCCAAATAGATCCGAACCACCACCCGGAACCTAACCACTCGACATCGGAAACGACAACAACTCAACTAGCAGCGATTTTGGAAACGTCACCAAAACGGCAAGGCATCAGAGAAACAAGTACAGCCCAGGTCAAAGGAGCAAACGTTGTACCAACATGCACCTGTCGCATCAAAATTGAGGGGACTGAAGCCTTTGTCCTAATTGATACCGGCTCTATGGTAACCATAGTGAACCCAGCACTAGTCCGACAGCACGAACACCTCACGACAGGACGACCGGTGGAGGTACGACTGAAGTCAGCCTCAGGACACCTGATACCGATACTCCACGAAGCAACAATGAAATTCGATTTTGCCGGCACAGCCAGGAAGCACCCAGCATACATTTGTCCCGACATCCTCCAAGATGCTATCATTGGATTCGACTTCATCCGCAAACACAACCTGACGATCAACCCGGCCACTATGACGGTACAGCTAGAGGACTCCAGGCCAATACCCTTACAGACAGCGGAAGGATGGGAAGAGGAGTGCGCCGGCGTACAGGTCTTGGACCCCGAACAACAGGTTCAAAAAACCGAGTGTGACATGAGCTGTCCTGGGAAATCAGAGGAAGATGTCAGCAGGACCTCGGGAGCGTCTCTTGATTCGAAGACATTGAATGGAGAGTCGCACACATCCACACGTGCAGACTCGGAATGCCCGGGCATGAAAGACCACCATCAGTCAGAAGCGGCAGTCCAGTCAACGACCCGAGGCTATGGAACGACCCCAGAATCGGTACAACCACCTAAACACGCTCCAGAAACAGCGTACTCGTCCAGTGATACTGGAAACATGTCGCCGCCCGTGTACAGTGAGAGCAACACAACTCCACACCCAGGAGAGAAGCGGGGCACGCCGCTCAAGACAGATAGGCTGCCCAGTGATGGGAGTCAGCCGCCGGGACCACTGGAAACTACCATTGAAACCCACAAGGAACCTGAGATCTGCAACAGTTCGGAACAGGATTACACGGAAAAGCAACTGGAACCTGAAGCAGCACTATGTCAAGCGGGTACAGAGCCAAAGGCAACGAAACAAGGTGAAACGAAACCAAAACAGACAATGACGTCAGGAAACCGCACTACACAAACCATGGACCGCACGGAGGCTCTACAGGAGCAACAAACAGGAACCAGCTCTGAAGAGCAAGCCACATATGCTACCAAGACAGAGTGGTCCGAGCGGCAGCCGAGCTACGAAGAGGACGTCAGCCAGACCACCCTCCCAGATGACGAATTGAAGATCGAGAGTGTACATATGCTGTACATATCTGAGCGACCCGACACACCATCAGGAGAAACAGCCCATTGCATCCCGCAGAGCAGGGCACCAGGTGAAGATACTACAGACAAACTAGACGGGCTTTCCATGGCGGCAGCAGATGACGGAAAACAAGGGACGGTAACCATCGGTCCTGTTTCTCCAGGCCAGGAACAGGCACTCAAACAGCTAGTGGAAGAATTTCATCAATGTTTTGCACAAAAAGGGGAACTCGGGGCATGTGACCTGATTCAACATCGAATCGAACTAACCACAGATGTACCAGTGAGGCGGCCGGCCTACAAGGTGGCCCATACAGAACGAGAATTCATCGAAAAGGAGATACGAGACATGCTCGAAAAAGGGGTTATTGAACCATCGATATCACCCTACGCCGCGGGAGTGGTCCTAGTGCCAAAGAAGTCTGGAGAAACTCGGTTTTGCGTCGACTACCGAGGCCTCAATGAAGTAACCAAGGCAGACCATTACCCTCTCCCGTTGGCAAGAAGCGAGATCTTCGACACACTCGGCGGGGCCCAGATTTTCAGTTGTCTCGACTGCCAGCAAGGCTATTGGCAAGTCAGTGTGGCAGAAGAGGACCGTCCAAAGACAGCATTTCGGTGTTTTCTGGGCCTCTTCCACTTCCTCCGCGTGCCGTATGGGCTCCGCAACGCTCCGGCTACCTATCAGCGCCTCATGGCTCACGTGCTCTCAGGATACACAGGAAAATTTTGTCACTGTTTCATCGATGACATCATCGTCTTCTCCAACAACTTTGAGGAGCACCTGGAGCACCTACGCCTCGTCTTCGAGCGCCTAAAACAAGCTGGCATCAAACTAAAACCATCTAAATGCGTACTCGCAAAGGAGCAGGTCCAGTACCTTGGTCACCTCATCTCACCGGGACAGCTCCGCCCAGGCCCCGAGAACATCAAAAAGATCTGCGACCTGGACGCCCCCTCCACCGTCAAAGAAGTGCGCAGCTTTCTGGGCATGGCTTCCTATTACCGAAGTTTCGTGAAGAACTTCAGCAGGCGGGCCTGGGCTCTCACAGAGCTAACCAAGCAGAACAAACCCTTCCAATGGGGGTCCAAGGAGCAAGACGCGTTTGAAGACCTGAAGGACGCTCTCACTAGCGAACCGGTGCTGGCGCTCCCAGATTTCTCAAAGCCATTCATCCTTATGACAGACGGGAGCTCGACAGGGTTGGGTGCGGTGCTCGGACAGCAGCACGAAGGAGACCCCAAGGAGAGGGTCATCAGCTACGCTTCAAGACGTACCACCCGTCTGGAGGAGAACTACTCGGCCTGTGAGCTTGAGTGTCTCGCTCTTGTGTGGGCCACGCGCCAGTTCAGAGAGTATATCCTGGGACGTCCAACGGAGGTGGTTACTGACCACTGGGCCCTGAAATGGCTACAGGACTTGAAGAACCCAAATCCAAGACTTCAGCGGTGGCGTATGGCGCTGCTGGAGTACGACCTCAAAATAACATACAAACCCGGAAAACAGCACCGGAATGCGGACTTCCTATCACGAATGTACGAAGGAGGGAGGCGACACAAAGGAAGGGAAGAAGAAATGGGACAAGAGCAAGGGAGGAACTGCAACGAAGGGGAAGGAACAGGAGAAGCTCCGGAAGACATGCTGGGTGTCATGGCAGTAACCACGCGAAGACAGGCCCAGCAGGATCAAGGGGCAGCAGAAGAAGACCAGAACCCGGGGCACTGTGAAGGAGACGAAGCAGTCAAAACCACCCAAACGGGAACGGGAAGACGGACCCTCGCTAACCTCCAGAAGGATGACCGCGACTGTCATCAGCTGAGAGAAGCCGTAGCACAAGGAAGAGAACTCCCCTCGTGGGCGCGAAAACATCAATTTCGAATAACACCAGACGATATCTTGGAGCGGGTCAGCACCACCAAAAACGGGGAGGAGAGGTGGCAGGTGGTGCTACCCCAAGTCCTGGTACAATCAGCGGTACAGGACGCCCACGCCGGACATCTCAAGGCAGGCAAAACCCTCGGAAATTTGAAGCGGAGCTTCTTCTTCAGAAACATGTATACCATCTGCAACAAATATATCGCGGGCTGTCCGACGTGTCAGACCAAAGACCGTGGACAAAGACAGCAAGCCCCTCTTGGAGACATGCCTCAACCACTTGGGGCGTGGCACACGGTGGCTGTTGACGTGCTCGGACCTCTACCCCAGACAAAAAACGGCAAGAAGTACGTGGTAGTACTCACAGACTATCTGACACGCTACGTCCTCGCAGAAGCCACCAAAGACCAAACGGCTGAAACTACGGCAGAAGTACTCATGAAGAAATTTCTGGAATACGGCCTCCCCGAACGGATCATTACCGACAACGGAACAAATTTTACATCCAATCTCATCAAGGAGATGTGCAGACTCCTTCAAGCCGCGCATCTGTTCACCACCCCATACCATCCGCAATTTGACGGGCTCTGTGAGAGATTTAATCGGACTCTGGCCTCAATGCTGAGGGGATGTGTGGAGTACCATCAGCGCGACTGGGATAAGTACCTCCCATACCTCTTGCACGCTTACCGGGCGGCAGCCCAGGAGAGCACAGGTGAAACACCGTTCTACTTGATGTTCGGGAGACCCTGCCGGGCGCCACTCGACCTCCAGCTGAAGAGCAGACAGCTGGATTTTCCGGACCCCGCAACAGAAGTGGAGCACATCAAACCCGGCATGGTCGTGCGCATGCATCAGGCATTCGCTGACGTACAATCTCATCTGAAGGACGCTCGAGAGAAGCAAAAACACCACCACGACAAGCGAAGTCGAGAGCGAAACTTCCAGGTTGGAGACGAAGTCCTCCTCCTGGATGAAAGAGTAACTCAAGGACAGACCAAAAAGCTTCACCCACCCTGGAAGCCAGGATACCGGGTCATCGAAGTCGTAGGGCCATTAAACTACCACATAGAACACCCGAGCAGACGTGGAAAGATCCACCGTGTTCACGTCAACCGCCTAAAACGACAGGTACCCGAATACGTCTGGCCAAAGGAAGCGCTGCCCGAGAGCCTCCAACAACATGACGGCACTAAGAACCCTCTCAACGCTGAGCAGCAAGTGGACAACTGGCTCAGGCTCCAAAAGAGCAAGTTCCGACCCGGCCCACTCGATCATAGCCCCGTATCAACCAGCTCGGGGAGTGCGGAGGAAGGAGAGAGTGACGGAGGAGACGGGGGAGGACGTTTTGGAACTCCGGCCGCTCCTATACCCGACCAGTTACCACACCCACCGCCTCAAGACTGCACCACCGAGCCCCGTCCTTACAGCAGGAGATCCCAACCCTCCCCAGGCATTTGTGGGACGGGACAGGGCAGGAGAAGGGCCAATAATTTTGAGACACCCATCCTGAGACGGTCCGATCGAATCCGACTCAGGCGGGAACAGCGAGACCATTGAGACAAAAAGAAACCAACAGGAGTGTCTCCTCTTGTTCCAGACCGAGGTCATGTTCGGACGACTGGCCCTCCTGCTACTCTGGGTCGCAGCCAGCCGCACCAAAGGATCGGAAGAAAATGACGTCACGCCCGGCCTGCGAAGCGGAATCTTATTCCAGCCGAAGGGACCATTGGTGTTGGCCACCGGAACCTGGACAGCAATAGTGAGATTTCAGCAAGAGGACGTCGAAAGGCAATCAAATCAAATCCGGGAGCAATTCACCAAAATTGATAGGGCTTTAGAGAACAGCGGCGAATTTGAAGCGAACCAGACGGCCGAAGAACAGAGAACCCAACAATTTATCAGAGAAATGAAAGCCATGTGGAATCAAGAGCGTACCTGGATGGAGGCTGAGCTAAGGGCTGGTGAAGTTGAAATCCAGGAACTCAGGACGGAATTGAGACTCAGTCGCCGAGCCAGGGGACTGATTAACGCCCTTGGCGACGGTTTAAAATGGTTGTTTGGCACCGCCACGGAAACTGATGTCCAAAAACTGCACAAACAAATCGAAGGAATCACGGCCGGCGTGGGAAAACTTCATCATATTGCTGAACTACAAACCACCTTAATCGGAGAAATTTCAAAGCGTCAGAAGAACAACGACAAACACTTAGTGACGCTAGCCAGAAAGGCCATCGAGCTGGAGTCACTCTTTACAGTTACGAGAGATGCCGACCACATTACCATGCGGAATATTCGTCGAGAGCTCGATTTCGGCCACGCGATCTCCTCTGCCATCCGTACCGCAAGCGCCGCTGTGATGACTTTTCACCACGAAGTGAGGCAAATCAGCCGGGCGATGGCGCACACTCAACAAGGAGTGGTAACGCCGGCCATTTTGTCGCCCGCAACGCTGAAGACCACCATGGCGGCCATCACTAATCACCTGCCTGATGGGTGGGTGCCAGCCATCTCGCTCTCAGAAACACCGGCAAACATCTACAAGTTCTTAGAAATTTCCGCGGTGGCGCTTGAAGACGGCTGGGAAGTGCATATCCAAATCCCGCTCCAATACCGGCCATATGGACAATACCATCTCTTTAAGGTCAACTCCATCCCTACACACTTCTCCAATTCCTCAATTGCCCTAGAAGCCCAAGTCCCCTACCCATATTTCGCAATATCGAAGGACCAGCGCCTACACATTGAATTGTCGGCAGAAGAAATTAGCCGTTGCCGCCACGTCGGTGGGCGAACGATGTGCAACAAGCTTACACCTCTCATCAAGGAGAAGAGAGAGGGTTGTCTATACCATGCTTTCCGGGACGAAGAAAGCAAGGTTGAGGAAGAATGCGTGCGGAAAATGATAAAACCGAAACCGCAAATATACCCCGTAGCGGACAACAAATGGCTTTATGTACTACCAACCGAGGAGTTATTCTCTATGCAATGTGCCGGAGAAGGAATGCCAACCAAAGGGTTCCGGTTACAAGGAACAGGTATTTTCTCCCTTCCGGCCAGCTGCACTGCGATGGGAGACCATTACATCATCCCAGCTCATCTGAAAAGGCAAGGCGACACCCCAGCTGAGATGAAATTGACTGACATGACTCACTTCAAGATTGAACTGAAACCAAGTACTTTCCAAAACTACATTTCTACCAAAGGAAGGATAAACCAAACAGAACTAAATGAAATTCTTGAAGCAGCCAAAGAGACGGATCGAGAAGATTCAATGCTGACAGAGCTGAAAGAAACAATGAAGAACTGGAACGAATCCCCGGACACAGAAGGGATATCCTTCAAGTTAATCAACCACACCTCCCTAACCCTCGGAGGAGTCGCCCTGCTTGGGGTGCTCGGCCTGCTTGCCTACAACTGCAGCCGAAACAGACGACCACAGAGTACCATCATCCAACCCTGCCAAAATCCCGACCTGCCCATCCCATCTGCCCCTCTCCTGCCCGATCCCAGCCAGATATCACAACTCCAATCCCGGATCCACCACCTGGAAGTAATCACAACGGACCTGCAATGTCGCATGGAGAAGACGGCGCAACTCGAAATCGCCCTCGCTAAGCTGAAAAAACAACACGATGAGCTGACCGCCCTTCTCTAAGTCCAAACCGGACAGAGAACGGGCCGGTAACCGACACGGATGCAGGCCGACCCAGATGAGAACGGGACGCGGAAGGACGACTACAAACTCGATGAACGGCCAGGACGACTACACGACAACTAGCAGGGATATCAATCACGAGCGGCTGAGGTGGACCGAGCGGCTGTCTCAAAAAGCCACTCACCACCACTCGGCTACAACAACCGGTGGACGACTACACTCTATGGTGGACCGACTACACAACCGTCGGACTGATCCAGATGGGAACGAGGAAGGAGGACGACTACAAACCCGGTGAACGGCCAGGACGACTACACGACAACTAGCAGGGACATCAATCACGAGCGGCTGAGGTGGACCGAGCGGCTGTCTCAAAAGCCACTCACCACCACTCAGCTACAACAACCGGTGGACGACTACACTCACCGACTACTGAGGTGGACCGACTACACAACCGCCAGACTGATCCAGATGGGAACGGGGAAGGAGGACGACTCCAAACCCGGTGAACGGCCAGGACGACTACACGACAACTAGCAGGGACATCAATCACGAGCGGCTGAGGTGGACCGAGCGGCTGCCTCAAAAAGCCACTCACCACCACTCGGCTACAACAACCGGTGGACGACTACACTCTATGGTGGACCGACTACACAACCGTCAGACTGATCCAGATGGGAACGAGGAAGGAGGACGACTACAAACCCGGTGAACGGCCAGGACGACTACACGACAACTAGCAGGGACATCAATCACGAGCGGCTGAGGTGGACCGAGCGGCTGTCTCAGAAAGCTACTCACCACCACTCGGCTACGGCAGCCGTGGACAACGACCGGTGGACGACTTCACGCTATTGGTGGACAGACCAACTCAATTCATCAGGTAACGCTGTCACACCGACGGCGAGCCTGGAATGACAGCGGGCGATATACTAAACGAGTAAGCTTGGCCCAGTGTATGTGTATATAGTATGTGTATATAGTATGTGTATGTGCTAGTTTATGCTTAAAGACTGCTGTAGGAATTGGGGATGGCCGCAGCGGGCCTAAACCTGCTACACAGCAAGGGTAGATCGAGAATCGCGCGGATGTGTGATTTATGCGACCGATGTTTGAATGTGTGGGGTTAATTGGTTAGTAGGGATAAGTAAAACATGTAAAAGTCAGTCCCGGGGACGCCCCATGCTCATCCTATACTTCCTACCCAGCCAAGCACTCATGTCAAATAGCCGCCAATCCTTAAGACCCCGGCCACTCGCTCTCACCACAGCAGTCACCAGGACTACAGCGACAATGGCAACGGCAGAAGCAGACTCCCGCCCGTCTAGTCGCGGGGCGCGACTATAAAAAAGAGATCTGAAAATGTAACGCAGATGCGCCACATTTTTTTTTCTTCTTCAATTTGAACAAGTCAGCCGTGCCACAAGCAAAAGTGCAATCATTGACCAGATCGCAGGACGGCCGACCGCGCGCCGGGCGCCGGGCGCCGGCGCACTCAGGCCGGCCCAAAAACAGCAGCTGCACCCGACTCGGACGAAAATAGGCAGAGGCTGGGACCGGGAACGCGGATGCCGATCAGCCATGTCGTCCGATGAATGGAGAGCCGGGCTGTGCACGCAAACAAAGTCATTTGACCCCCTGACCGTCGGCCTCAAAACCATCTGGCGCACCGCACAGACACGGTCAGTCGGCTCAATCGGCGGCGATACCTATTTGCGTCGCAGACCGGCGTACACAAGGGGTGCAGCCGGCTTTGACAACAAAGCTCCGCTGTGGAATACCACCCCCAATTCGTGAGAACCAGGATCTGAAGTCGACAAATAGCATGCCGGAGCACACCACCTGCCAGTGGCGAGTCATTTATCAGTTGACCCTTTGGAAAACAGGACTTGGTCCCACGCTCGGCACCCCGATGGGGACATTTATCAAGCGGACCATTACTGACAGAAGCCAAACAAGAGAAAGGGCGCAGCTGTCGACCTGGACTTCAGCGGGGCACCAAACAAGGGGAGCGGAGAAACGACCCACATTTCCGATACAATTAACCAGGAATCTGGGAAAAGAGAGTGGCTCGCCCCAGGGCTGCTGAGAGGACCGTCAATACTACACCCTGAGGGGATGCACAGCCACCGCCATCAAATCACGAGGAACTGGGGCGGTGCTTCAAGCCGAAGAAGACATCGCATTGGTTCGAGGGCGGTACCTATGTCCCTTCACCAAATTTACTCCGCCCACCAAACTGGACCGCTGAAATGACGTCACCAGGAGTATTTAAACTAGAGCAAGAAAGAAAAAGGGTCACTCTCGGTGACGATCTACCTGGGCGGCGGGAGTGCCACTAGTAGCAGCCGACGACGCAGCAGCAGCCTACTCTCTTCAAGGAGGTCAGTCATTCTCGGAGCACAGACGGCCATTCCCAGTCCACCCGCTATAATGCCCGCCCCCTTTCATTCTCCCGTAATGACCTACCCTCCCTCCCTCTTGTAAGCTGACCCATGCCTCCCGACGGGCGTCTCTGGGACGGGGGGTAGATACGTGGGGAGGGGAGGCGAGGGAACGCGTGCCAGACGGCGGGCCGGCCGACCCAAGTGAAAGGGAAAGTGTTTGTGTGTAGGGTCAGTAGTGAATCCCTGACCGCTCCGCGGATACGTCCCCGGGCCGATTCAAGGTGTAGGTTCGCGGGCTCCGAGCGGTTCGATCGTGTGGGGGTTTAGACGAGCTGAACCCCCCGACGTTGAGTATCCAATGTCTGCCGTGAATGAGTTATCAGTGCCGACTGATTTAATTGGGTTCGAATGTGGGAGCTTGTAAATAAATCGCAGAAATAGCACAACCTATTTAATACTGGAGACTCCGCGACTAAATGGGATGGCATAGCGCAACTCACTCACGCTCGTCACTGAACACAAGGAATCGTCTAGAGTGATAATTTATTCAACAATTTCCGCGCAGTGCGACGCACGTCGTGGTTTACTGAGCGCACGCCGGCCGCCACCTCCAGACACCGGCGGAGTAGTAGCGGCTGGGGTGTCGGACGCGCCGCCACCTCGGCCGTCAACCGGGCGATCTGGGCCTCGAAGCCCAGAATCTGGGCCCGAGCTTCCTCGGCCTGGGTCTCGGCCGAACTAATAGCAGCCTCCGCACTCGTGATCTGGCGACATAGCGCCGCTTCTTGGCTATCGACTCGGGCCTCTAGTGAGGCGATGCGCTCCAGGAGCCGCTCGGTCTCGGCCCGAGCCCGGGACTCCTGGGCACACCGGGCCGCCTCCGCGTCGGCAGCGGCACGGCGAGCCGCTGCAGCCTGCTCCTCGGCCCTCTTCGCCCGTCGCCGCTCCTCCGAGGCGGTTGCCTCAGAGGACCGGAGTTGGGCCCCCAGGTGCTCGACCAATCCGGCCAGCCGCGCTCGGTCCTCGCTGGGGAGGTCTTGGAAGGGCGGCGGCAGCAATAATGCTGCCCGCACCACTTCCATTGCGGTCCGCCCATTCTGCCTCGTAACCCAGCGGACGTACTCCGGGCCGTGGTCCCGGAGTACCGTAGCGCAGATGTTCACCACCCTGTAAGCGGACAGGCCGGGGTACGGGAGGGATTAGAATAGAACACTTTAATTGAATCGAATGTGGGGTCAGAATTATGGCGCTAAATTAAAAGGGGTGCGTTGATTGAGATAAGCATTAAATTAGATAAATTACCAAGTGACTCGAACACAACAAGTACGTAAGTGAAGTGAGATAATAGGAAGGAGTAAAGAAAAAAAACAAGCAGTGATTATCATGACTCACCTCGATAGAGTACCGTCGCCGGAGTGTCGGTCGGGGTGCACCTGGATCTGAAGGCGCCGAACCCGTCTTGCTAAGATGGCCCGGAATTCTGGGTCCTCCAGGGACCTCAGGTCGACCCCTAGGACGAGCTCCGGTACCCATCGCAGCCGGCCCCGCTCGTCACAAAGGACGGCGATATCCAGCACGGGCGGGGTGGCCGGAGCTTCACCAGTAGGTACTGAATATGCCATCACGAGACGAAATGGCACGACCCGACTCGCGAGGACCATATAATACGTCCGCCCACGTAAATAATTCTCAGACGGACGAAATTATTGGCGGACGTAACCCGGCGGGCCCGCTATTGGTCCCGAGAAGGCGCCGCGGCCGGCCCCCCCCCCCCTCAGGGGTACCGACCAATGGACAGCGGACGGGGTCGGACGCCGCCCCAGGCGTCCCTCTGGGTAGCCATCTCAGGCCAGATGAGGGGGCCAATGTGGCGATCACGGCGGGTAAGGTAGGAGGGCTAGCTCTGAGGCGACACACATGATATATTCAACACACACAGGACCTCCCTAGCCTAACCGATACTGGAGCTTCTCCGGTTGACTCCTAAGCGCCCTTGCCAGTGGATTTCCTGGCACTCCATCCTCCCCAAATTATCCCACGGTCCAACAATAGCGATTACACACAACACACACAGGACCTCCCCAGCCTAACCGATACTGGAGCTTCTCCGGTTGACTCCTAAGTGCCCTTGCCAGTGGATTTCCTGGCACTCCATCCTCCCCAAATTATCCCACGGTCCAAACAATAGCGATTACACACAACACACACAGGACCTCCCTAGCCTAACCGATACTGGAGCTTCTCCGGTTGACTCCTAAGTGCCCTTGCCAGTGGATTTCCTGGCACTCCATCCTCCCCAATTATCCCACGGTCCAAACAATAGCGATTACACACAACACACACAGGACCTCCCTAGCCTAACCGATACTGGAGCTTCTCCGGTTGACTCCTAAGTGCCCTTGCCAGTGGATTTCCTGGCACTCCATCCTCCCCAAATTATCCCACGGTCCAAACAATAGCGATTACACACAACACACACAGGACCTCCCTAGCCTAACCGATACTGGAGCTTCTCCGGTTGACTCCTAAGTGCCCTTGCCAGTGGATTTCCTGGCACTCCATCCTCCCCAAATTATCCCACGGTCCAAACAATAGCGATTACACACAACACACACAGGACCTCCCTAGCCTAACCGATACTGGAGCTTCTCCGGTTGACTCCTAAGTGCCCTTGCCAGTGGATTTCCTGGCACTCCATCCTCCCCAAATTATCCCACGGTCCAACCATAGCGATTATACACAACACACACCGGACCACCCTAGCCTAGCCGATACTGGAGCTCCTCCGGTTGACTCCTAAGTGCCCTTGCCAGCGGATTTCCTGGCACTCCATCCTCCCCAAATTATCCCACGGTCCAAACAATAGCGATTACACACAATACACACAGGACCTCCCTGACCTAACCGATACTGGAGCTTCTCCGGTTGACTCCTAAGTGCCCTTGCCAGCGGATTTCCTGGCACTCCACTAATCAATTTACCAACGGTCCGCACACAAGCAACACACTAGACCTTGTTGCACACGAAATATATGTAATTTTATTCTACATGGACACTGCAAGGGATGGAACCGGGGAGATAGATGATGCACGTCACGCCCCTGTGCGTGGAGAATCCACCGACGCGGCTACGGGTTAGGAGGGAGATGAGACGCGAGTGAAAGGGCAAAAGACTGTACACGCAGATGGGTCGGATTTACTGAATGAAGTTCAGCTCGGATAGACCCCACTTAATAGTAGGCCTCGCTTGGGTAAGCCCTGGACACGTGCAATAAGTCGCGAAGTGAAGAGAAAGGACGAGAACGAGTTGAGGATCGATTATTGAGGATGAGTGCATAGCCGACGAAGGCTAATCCGTTCGGTTGCCGGCGCGGGCCCCATAAAGCCGTGGCTATACGGAGACGATGCAGGCAGCCCGGAGGGACCTAGCGACCCCGCCCGGTTTTAAAAGATAGGTTAGGTCCGCTATCGGTCCATTGAGTGATCAGCGCAGGATGACATTCGATAAGTGACGTAGGTAGTTTCGGAGATGGTTAGGACCCCAGGCGTCCCAGCGAGGAGACGTATGCCGCCGGTTAAGTAATGTCCCGCGAAGAAACGTGTGATGCTGCAGGACGGGGGTAAACATTAAATACCAAAGCATGCGAGTCGGGTGATCGCGGTAAGTCGGTACTGGCCACCCCGCTGTCAGTCGATTAACTCCGGCCGTGCAGCGGTCATTTCGGATAGGTCTGTGACGACAGCTTAACTACCAGCAACGGATAGATAGGGCTTCGGGCACCTATAACGCTGGTAGTCGTGGATTGTGTGAAGCCAACGGAGGCTAACCCGTTCGGTCGCCGGTGCTGTTTCAAAAGCCGTGGCTATACGGAGACGATGCAGGCAGCCCGGACGGACCTAGTTACCCAGCCCGGTTTCAAAGTTTAGATAAGCCCACCGCGGGCCGTGGTACGCTTAGTTTTCGTTTTCTTATAGGCAATTTGGCACAACTGGTAGTCATGGATTCGTGTAAAGCCGACGAACGACTAATCCCTTTCGGTCGCCGGGGGCTGGCCCGAAAACCGCGGCTATACGGAGACGATGCAGGCAGCCCGGACGGACCTTAGTTACCCAGCCCCGGTCTCAAATTTCAAATAAGTCCCCCGCGGAAACCGGACTACACAGTGTCCTGCGAGCCGTAGTCTCGGAACCGCTGGCCGAAGGACATTTATGTTTTTTTGTGTAGATAGTTCGACATGGTGATAGGATGGACCGCAATAAGTCACGTAACGCGAGGGTCGAGTGCCGAAATCTGTGGTGGGTCGTATCTCTAATTGTGTAGCGTGAGCATTATGAAGCGTTCGTTTGATGTACGGAGCATTGTGGTTATGAAGGGATAACGGTTAATAAAATCTAAGGTCGACGACTTAATTGCGACTTGCGCACGCCTTAGCACCACCGGGGGAAGTTAGGCAAAGGGGGAGGGATCAGAGATGGTTAACTCTGATAATTTATAAGGTATGGCTGGGCGTATGACAGAAATGAGAGGGGACGGGCAAATGAACGTATGATTGGCATGTATATCCGGTGGGAGATAACCCTCAGCTAGGACGGGTGCTATTGTTTGAGAGTGGGACCTTTGTTTAGTAGAGTTGGGTTCGTATTTCAGTGTGATCAAGGTAATAGGTTATTATTATCCCTCCTCCCATTCCTTAACCCTGGCCTATGTGTTTCCGATGATTGATCGCCCCGGAAAGCTAGAGTCAGAGTCGGAACGGGTTCGCGAGGGGCTGGACACAGAGGAGGGCTTCTAGGAGCGCGCCGACGGAGCTCTCAATAACGAAAGACACTGTCCGGTTAGCTTGCTCTCCGTCACTATCGAAAGACACTGCCCGGTTAGCCCCGCAACGCCGCGAAACCCCGCTACATACGTAAAGAAGGTATTCGAGCTGCAGCAACCTTTTTGGTACCTATGTCAATACTATAACCCCCGTTCTTGAGATCTGGAAGCGGCACTCTGCACGTGCGCACGTGCAAAATGGGTCCTTACTGACTTGCACGGCACCCTACTAACCAGTCGCTAACCATTTACCAAATTTGAGCGCAATCGGTTTAGCCGTTCTCGAGGTCTGGAATCGACCCCTTCACGTGCGCACGTGCTACAGCAGCCCAACTGTGGCACGTGGATTTGCATTGCCTCATGGTGGGTTCCCGACGAAAGCTGAAAAAGTGGCGAAAAAAAATGAATTTAGTAACCGCGACTCTCGGTATCATAAAACTCAGGTTGCCATGGTACGGGGCAAATTGGGGAGAATTCGTCTTAACCCTATTCCTGGCGGGCTTCGCCGGGACAAGAAACTGGCGGGGGGCCGATTCGGCCCCCCCCTGAGATCTCGAGAACGAAGCAAGATAGCGACAAGCGGTAAACGGCATCGGATACGCACGGCCAAGATCTACAATTTTTACTAAGGTCATTTTCAGGTCAGGTCAAAGATGACGTCACAGGGGTCGAAAAAGTCAAAATGGCGGCGCTAGATATGGAGAGAGTTTTTCTCGAATAACTTTCGAATTAGTCAAGATAGGAACAAACTAAGGGCATCATCGTGATCCTCTCGTCAATCCGCATCGAATGATATATATTTTGACCTCGAAAGGTCAAGGTCAAAGGTTGACCTCAGGTCACGTGACCTCGAGGTCATCATGTATATCATTCGATGCGTCTTGACGAGCTGAACACAATGAGACCATCCACGCGTCTGTATCTTGTTCCTGTACGGAGTTATTGGCCAAAAACCTTTGGTGACCTTTGATGACGTCACATGACCTCACAGCTGCCCAACAGCAAAACAGACCTCAAGGTAGTGAAGGTTGATCGTATATGAAGTCATGTATGGTATATGGGGCCATTCCGACCCGTTTTAGTGGTAAAAACAGGGAGTTGATTTTCCCCCATTGACTTATAATGAGGAGGTCGCGAAACTGACCTGACCTTAGGTCACCGATATCAAAATTCCGAGATATACAAATTGCACATACTGGTACCCTAACTAAAGCCTGAAGAGAAGAAATTGATCGGTCAAAAACTCTAGCTCTGGCGTGATTGCAAACTTTTCTGAGGTAGGGTCACCAAACCGCCTCTGGTGACCTGACCTGAGGTCAGATCAACTCAAAATTTTCAGACATGTTGCGTAGAAGCCTTATAGGAAAAGTCAGAAAATTTGAGCTTCCTAGCTCAACGCGTTTGGGAGAAATAACCAAAAAACCTCAGGGGGGGGGGGCTCCTGAGGCCCCCCCCGCCAGGAATAGGGTTAAAACTTGAATTTCAACGAGTTGCTGCGGAAAAAGGAAATTTATTGGACAGTGCGAGAATGAACTGCACTTTTCAGAAATGATTCAAGTTTTTATCTGACCAGCTTACATAGTATCAAAATCAAGTCCGAAACTGAACCACCCATGCTGCTACACACCGGCGGATCCAGGAGGAGGGGGGGGGGATTTGGGGCAAATGCCCCCCGCAGCGCCTGAAATCGACGAAAATTTGTGGTTTTTGAAGAATACAACGAAAACCAAACAACTTTTATTAGGAAAAGTTTGTTTTAAACTGCGAAGCAGTGCGTGAGGAACCGAAATCCGATGAGTTATTGAAATTTGGAGAAACTTTATTGGGGGGGCATACCCCCCCGCAGCGTCCAAAATTGCCTTTCTGGATCCGCCAATGCTGCTACAGGATACTTACTTCTAAGTTGCATTCTTGGCATTTCTCTACAAGTCAAACATTCATCTACACAAAGCTATCTTTTCGGGACGAGAAATGAAGTATCTTTTCCTAGGGTGATCATTGCGGCGTTAACCCTCGCCCGCACATGCCATTTTCCCATCCATAGAACGCACATGGGGGGGGGGGGGGGGTTGCCATCCCCCGCGCCATTTCGTTCCTGTTGGAGATAGAGCTTCGCGGTAAAGACCAAAAAAGATTCTTTGGGAAGAGACGAATCCAATGATACCCAGTTTTATCTTCTCAGGTCAGTCATTGACCTTCCAGGTCAGGTCAAACTAAAAATGTTGCTGTTTTGGGTCACCGTTGGATATCAAGTGTGCTGCCTATCATACACCGATGACGATGCCGTTTTCTGGTGCCAAGCAAGCTAGAACCTCTTTGTCATACTACCCGACCAGGTTTTAGCTGCTGAGGTCATTTCAGGTCAAGTTAGGTCAAGGTCAATTATATGTGTTTGTATGTCTGTGTGTGTCTGTGTGTATGTCGATGTGTGCACCTATTGTTTATGTGTCCATATTACATGAAATCATGATCTGAGAAGCTTTTACAAAAAATTCAGTCAAAAAACTTCACGAAAAGTAAATTCAGCTTGCCAAAAACGCAATTATTTTAGATGACCTAGGTTGACCTTGACCTTGACCTTGACATCTGTACATCGTCGAACATGTTCCATGATAGGTGGGAGATAAGACTGGCAAAAAAGGCCGAAATCAAGTTGTCAAAGCTCACAAGGCCCATAGCCAACGCAAGATGTTGAGAATTGGTCATTTGGGTCATGACATGACCTGAAAAAACAAGGTCATATCTCCGAAACCAAAAACCACAGAAACTTGAACTTTTCAGTGGACATAAAAAAGGATAGAGGAGCAGCTATGCGAAAAATCAGGCTCTAAAAATATTGAGTGCAGAGTAGACAGACTACCGAGGGGGGTGGCAACCACCCTCGGTAGTCCTAACCCGCACGGTACCCCATGTGCGGGTTAGGGTTTTAAAGCTCTTGATTTGTGCTACTTAGCTCAAGCTACAAAAGTCCCATTCCAGTTCAAAACCCAATGGTAAAAGTGGTATATTTTCTTTGAACCTTGACCCGCGCTTAGTACATGATTCTATGACATTCATGCTCACGATGTATCTTGACAAGTCTTGGAGGTTAGGTACTTTGGCTGAGTTTCGGGCAGAAGCTATTTACCGCCGGGCAGGGCAGAATACCGCCGTCTAAGACACGTCATTGAGAACCCCAGAAAATTACATTTGACCTGGCCTCGACCCGACAGTTGACCTCAGCCTTGAAGTCTTGAGTGTTTTGGAAGTTAGTTCTCAATATGGCAAAGGGGAGGGATCGGATCCCACATCAGATGATGTGTACGAGCATTAAGTAACTCTCATAGCCGTGCCTGGGAATAACCAAACTTGATATCAGTTTAGTCTTGATTATTCCCCTTCCAGTTCTGACTAGTGTCGCCAGACCTCTTATTGGGCGCCAAATGTCAGTAAACGTCAGTAGTTACAAAATCGTTTCAAGCATAAATCAAGGTTTAGCAAATCGTGAGCAGGGACGGGAAAAGCTCAGCTGACAGCCCACGTGACTGCGGCCCCAGCCTTATCTGGAAGAATCAGTTGCCGCTGCCTGCTGACGCGCCGTGCCCACTGCCCGTGACCCGCAGGTGGCCTGGATCAAGGTGGACACGCAGACGATCCTGACGATCGGCAGCCACCTGATCACGCGCGACTACCAGATATCGCTGTCGCAGTCGGACGGCCGCGTCTGGCACCTGCGCATCAGCCACGTGGACCGCACCGACTCCGGCTGGTACATGTGCCAGATCAACACCGACCCGATGATCAGCCGGCAGGGCTACCTCGAGGTCGTCGGTGAGTGGACCGACGGCCGACACACCCACAGATGCACAGTGCCACAGCTCGGCACACCCTTGACTTAGTTTTGGTACCCTCTGGACGGTCAACTGGCATGGTTTACATGACCGTTCCTCATTTTCAAAAAGCAAGATATATGCATTTGCAATAATATGTTAACCCTCGCCCGTAAACGGTGCTTTGCCACCTTCGCCCATGCAGGGGGGGGGGGGGGTTGGTGCGACCCCCCCTGGCGTTTGAAAACGGAGCGTCGTAGAGCTTAGCGGAAAAGACCAACGGATTGCTCTCAACGAGATCTCGCGATTGGTGGTATATTTTTTTGGTCCTAGGTCAACATTTGACCTACTTATGACCGGTCAAAGGTCAAATTTTCGGAAAAATCTAACTTTTTCAGATTTCCGCTCCGATTGCGGCAAAACGGTAAGAGATATCGACTTGAAACCTTCACTATCGTGATCCTTGATCAATTCTCTATCGTTTGGTGTGTATTTCGATGTCATAACTCTAAAAATGATGCGTTGGGAGCATCGGAAGTCTGCAAGGTCATTTGTGCATTGGGTCACGTCAGGCGTGTGACGTCACTGACCTGACCCTGACCCAAAATGAACTACAAGAAACAACCGTCGATGCCTGAAATGGATAGCAAATTCGAATTCAGGGCATCAAAATACCCCGAAAAGACATACAAGTGCAGGAAGTCATTACAGGTCAACCGAGGTCACTGACCTTACCTTGACCTTTAGTAACCTTCAAAATGTCAACGGACATTGTGCCAATGTCAAATCAGCCAGTTGTGATTCTAAAACAATCCATCAGTGTGTCAGGTCAGTCGGCATTTATACCAATGTGAAGCAATCTCCAATTTAGCGTAAATCTGGCCGGAGGTTGTTCCCTTTATGACGTCATAACTCCGTGACCTGACATGATCTTGACAAAAAAATACCAAAAGTTGCGCAAAGGATGCCCCAGAGGGTACTGAAAATTTGAGCAGGCTATCTGAAACGGTTCGGCGTGTAGCTAAGAAAAACCTCAGGGGGGGGGGGGTGCACCAACATGGGCGAGGGTTAATTCAGATGTTTTTAGCCCGCGCATGACGGGGGGGGGGCTCTACAGAGCCCCCTCCCGTTTTTCGGCAATATCTTCTAAAATCTAAACCGTTTGACGGATCAACACAAAACTTGCGGTACCTACCCTTAGCGGCATCAATTTGACACCTTGTGCTAAAATTTTAACTTTCTAGCTACCATAGTGTGGCCGGAAATGGCGTCAGAGTGACGTCATGTCGGCCGATTTTGATGCAAAATGTTGAATTACGGGAAACACTCTCAAGAGCTTAGTTTCAGCTAGATCCAATTGATTTGCACCAATGGGCTACAAATACACGTAGCTATCAAACTGCAATCTCGATTTCTCAAATTTTTGAAAATTTTGAAAAATAGGGGAGAGGCGGGAGAATTGGGACATTTGTCAAAGTTCAACTTTGATGAGCCATTACATGACAAGCATAAAAGCTACGCAATATTGCACCACTCTTAGCGATAGCTGGAACATTTTTTAACATACTTTTAAGGAGAAAGTTCGGTCTTGTAATACGTTGCAACATGGGTGAAGCCAAAACAAAGACCTTCATTTACAGGAGAATTGGGACGCCTGCAGGAGACTCGGGACAGACATTAACCCGCGCGGGGCTGGGGTCTCCAGCCGAACGCGCGGGGCTGGGGGGGGGGGTAAATTTTACCCCCCCTGTTATCTCCCGAACTAATGGTCCGATTTGGAAAATTCAAACGCCAATCGAAAGCTCTCATCACGAACTACTAAAAACATGTACTTAATTTAAAGTTTGAGGTCAAGGTCAAGGTCAGGTCAAGGGTACAAATTGCAAGTTTCTACAGTATCGGCCTTGCACCGTAGTTGCAGAATGGAGTCATGGACTGAGACTGATCGCCCAAAACGTGTTCTTAGGCTACCAAGACAATATTCGTTGCATACAATATCATTCAGAGGTCAAGGTCAAGGTCAGGTCAGGTCAGGTCAGGTCACCAAAAAACAAAATATAGAAAAGGGCATGTGCGACACATGTTTTATGGGTCATTTTACTCATAGAATTCAATAGGCACACTAAATAAGTGATATGGACCACCTCTGGATGAATTTAAGGTCGAGGTCAGGTCAAGGTCAGGTCAAGTGAGGTCAAATTTTGAAGTTGGTTGTTAAGGCCTAAAAAGGTGTCTATCTGATGCAGTTTTTCACGGCGAATCGAATGGTGCTATTTTTGTTTCCGTACAAGGTCTAGAACTTCCAAAAAAGTCATTTTTCAAAAATTTTGTGTGTCGTGACGTCATAAAATTTTGAATAACTCCCACATTTTTGAACCGATTCTTCTAAAATTTGGTATGTAGGTGCACATAGACCACTTCTCTGACATATATTCCGGTTTCTTTCGATAGACTCAAAATTTTGGATTTTATAATGATTTTCCAAAAAAAATCAGTTTTTTGAAAAAAATTTAGGCCAAAATCCAAAATTTTCAAAAAAACCGAGATAGCCATTTGATAGACAAAGTAAAATTATGTATAACCTTTTTTGTTACGTCTTGATTCCCTTAAAAATGAAGATGGTAGCGGCGTTTGAACTTTTGCCGTTTTTGAGGCGAAAATGGCGAACATGACGTCACTAAAACGTCAATTTCTCAAAAACTTTCCGACGGATTTCGCTCAAATTTTCAGGGAACGTGTCAAATTGATGTAGGAAAAGGTACTGAAAGTTTGGCGGCGCTGCGCGCCGCCGTTTTTGAGATATCGCAAAAATTCGCGAGGGGGGGTAAAATTTACCCCCCCAGCCCCGCGCGGGTTAATATGATTTGGGACACACTAAGGAGTATTGGGACACAGTTAGTGCTCGTTATCCTGGTTCAGTAATTTAATTGAAGGAGTAAAAGGAGTGCACTGCAATGCCACCTGACTATATTCAAGTGCGTACAAACGTTTAATTCTCGTCAGCTGTCGCTGAAAATGTTTGTCTTCTATGTTCATTGTTCGTTCACCTTTCATGAAATCAGAAGAATACGATATTTCATAACGTGAACTGGGGATGCATGTATTATTGATCAGAGCTCCAGATAACCATTCTCGCAGTTGCAGAAGAAACGCTGAAAGGTATTTCAATACCACGAGAACATGAACTGTCACAAAAGCAAAAAAGCCTTCCTGAGGAAACGTTAAAACGTTCAACACCACATACGTACTACGTAATCACGTAGAACCAGTACCTACTGACCAAGTGACATTCGTGCGGTACAACAAAACGCATCATCGGATCACTGCAGTTCAGAACATCAGTCTCGGCAGACGTCGCACACAAAGTCTACCTGCCAGGCTGTTGCATCCGTGCACGGCAAGCATGCCAGGGGCGGATCCAAGGGGGGGGGGGGGTCACATGGGTCATGCCCCCCCCCTTGAGGCCCGGGGGCCCAAAGACCTGCCAGGGGCACCACCGGCCTATCAGGGGTATCACAGTCCTGACAGGGGCACCACAGGACCGCCAGAGGCACCACAGGCCTAGCAGGGACACCACGGGCCTGGTGCCCCTGGGCCCTGACAGGACTGTAACGCCCCTGACAAGCCTGAAGTGTCCCCGGCAGGCACGTGGTGCCCCTGACAGGCCTGAGGCGCCCCTGCAAGGCCGGTGGTGCCCCTGGCAGGCCTGTGGTGTCCATGGCAGGCCTGTGGTGCCCTTGCTAGGCCTCTGGTGCCCCTGACAGGCTTGTAATGCCCCTGGAAGGACTGTGGTGCCCCTGGGCCCTGACAAGCCTGAGGTGCCCCTGACAGGCCAGTGGTGCCCTTGCTAGGCCTGTGGTGCCCCTGGCAGGCCTCTGGTGCCCCTGACAGGGTTGCGGTGACCTTGGAAGGACTGTGGTGTCCCTGGGCCCTGACAAGCCTGAGGTGCCCCTGACAGGCCCGTGGTGCCCTTGTTAGGCCTATGGTGCCCCTGGCAGGCCTCTGGTGCCCTTGCTAGGCCGCTGGTGCCCCTGGCAGGCCTCTGGTGCCCTTGCTAGGCCGCTGGTACCCCTGCGCCCGGAGAGGACTGGTGCCCCTGAAAAGTCTGAAGTGCCCCTCGGCAGGTCCGTGGTGCCCCTGACAGGCCCAAGGTGCCCCTGCGAGGCCGGTGGTGCCCCTGGCAGACCTCTGGTGCCCCTGGCAGGTCTGTGGTGCCCCTGGCAGGTCTGTGGCGCCCCTGGCAGACCTGTGTTGACTGGTGCCCCTGCTAGGCCGCTGGTGCCCCTCACAGGCCTGCGGTGCCCCTGGAAGGACTGTGGTGCCCCTGCCCCTAGGGGTGCTCATGGGCCCAACAGGCCCGTTGTGCCCCTGACAGGCCTGTCGTGTATACTTGCTAGACCTGTGGTGCCCCTGGCGGGCCTGTGGCGCCCCTACAAGGCCGTAGGTGCCCCTGACAGGTTTGTGGTGTCCCTGGAAGGACTTTGGTGCCCCTGACAAGCCTGAAGTGTCAAGGACAGACCCTTTAGACGCCAGGGTCAAGTTCGTCGGACTGACAACGATTTGCTTACCTGATAACGTTCCTGGTAAGTACTCACTACTCAGCGTCCACAACATATATGTATACACATAGCACATTCATATATACCTACTTGCTTACAATTGGTAAATGTGGTTGTGGCTAAGAGTTAAGATACTGACTAAAAATAAAAAATAAAAATAAAAAAAACTGAAAATGGGGGCACCACCAAAATGAAGTGGACGAAATCCGTTGAGTTTTTAATTTTGGGTATAGGTAGGGGCACCACTTCGATTCATGACCCTCCCCTTGGAGTTTTCCTGGATCCGTCCCTGAAGCATGCCCAGTTTTTGCATTCTGTGCACTGGATCCACGACT